CGGTATCAGTTGGAATTAAAATAGTTTCATCTTCAGTTAATGATATTCAGTATCTGCGCGTTGTAGGAGATCGAGTAAGATAAAACCAATGTATCATTTAAACTGTGAAATTCGCAGAAGTTAGGAATTTAAAATCGAAAATTCTGTGGATTTGTAGACCAGCGGAGTTCAATATAGTCCAGGTGTTTAGCAGTGCTCACCGAAAACAGTGGATGAGGCTGCGCGAAACTGTGGATTGAACGAAGTTAGATGCCGATCCAGAGGTTCTAGGTTCGAACACTGAGGGTAGCTGGAGTCGTGGATGAGCACAGTTGATGAGCCCCATACAAGGATGAAAAAGTCGTCCGGTGCTACAAGGTTTCTGATGGTGGTCTAACATTGGTCGATTCATGATTTCAGTTCTGTGGATAATAAAGATTTTCTGCTGACAGAATCGAAAATTTACAGTTTATCAGTTTCTCTCGATTGCCTAGGAACAGGGCGAAACATGTTGGAACAAATATTCGAGTAGGTAGTCACCTGATCTGCACACTAATAAATCCACCAGTGGTCGGCGTTCTGCATACAGAAATCTCTCAATTATAATCAAATATGATTTTTCATTACAGTTTCCTCAAACACTGACTGGATAAATGTCTTAAGTTAGATCTACATTAGTAGAAGATAAGTGATAAAAAGACATTATAACCCAACATATTTTAAACACTTATGTCAACGGAGATCGTGTATTCCTGCTAAATATCTGTCTTAGTTCGTAAAATATTCCGTTAATGGCTCTCATTCATTCACCATAGCTAAATAAGAACACAGTATTCAAAAAAAATACAATACACCTAAAGTATGAAAGATAATTGTATCAGTTAATAATGGGAGAAGTAGAAACCTGGCATGTCTTTCTTAGAAAAACTGATGCAGAATAAACAATCGGTTTTCTTTCAAAAAAAATCACGGGAAAATTCATCGCTGACCGCGGAAAATCCTACAGTCTACAGATAATAACAACGAAACTGTAACTACTCATCTTTGAATTCCGTGCTCAAGGACGACTTTATGGGCATATTTAAGTGCCGAACCAAAATGGCAAATAATTGTGGATAAAAGAAATATGAATGACAAAATGCTTTATATGAACGTATTTGAAAATCCGTCCACATACACACTTTCCTATTGTATTATGTTGCTTCAGCTTTAAATTTCAATTTATTCTACCATACCCCTTCAGCTGCACATTCGATTGATGTACAGAATTTAGATGAAGTGGTGAATGTTTTTTTCACCATAATTTCTGTTTTGAAGTCTTTAGAAAACAAGACTCAAAGGTTGGAGATCAGATTATCTGTCTCCCTGGTCTTATCACAACAGCCTAAGTAGAAAAGATGGTCTTCAACTAGCCACTCCATGGCAAATGACCTTTCACATGTAACAGGACCTC